GGTAAAGCTAGATACTTTATTAGTAAATATTTATATTAAAGTATATTCTATATACTCTGGTTTTATAGGGTAAAAATCTAGAGCTATTTTGTTTCCTAGGGCTACTATTTGTATAGTTTCTTAAGGGGCGTAGCGTACTAGTTAGTAAGCTTTTACTACCCTATATATATTATAGGTAATAGTAGTTATTTATTAAGTTCTGGTTAGAATTTCTGTTTTTATTTATACTCCTTGGGCAGATATAGCTAGGCATTTAGAGAACCTCTGGCTTTAGGTAGCCTAGTCTTAGATACTATAATAAAGTATTTCCTTTTAGTAGTTTTTTTTAAGTCTAGGTTATATATATTTATTTTCTTAGAGAAATTAGAGGCTTATTTATAGCTAGGCCTGCCTGTATTAGTATTAGCCTTTAAGTTAGCTGCTTATATTTAAGTACTTATTGCCTTCTGATTTCTAAAACCTTGCTAAGCCTGCTTCTGTTTGCCCTTTAAAGATAGTTATTTCCTAGGCTTATATCTTACTATATTTTATATTTTTTTAATTTTATAAATAATACTAGATTTATAGCTAGTATAGTATATAGGGCTATATTATATAGTTATAGTATTTTTAGTATACTATTATATAAGTTAAGCTTAACCTGTACTTTACTATATCTTTTAATTAGAACTTATATTACTTCTAACTAGAAGAAATCTTCTAGAGGTATAGCCTTTAAGCTTCTTATTTTACTTGTATCCCTAAATATATATATAGTTACTCCTAAGTCTAATAATATACTATTACTTAGGGGGTATTTATTAGCTACTATTAGGCCTGCTTTTAGCTATTTTAAGCTAACTAGATATAGTTAGGCTAAGCTTTTTAATTTTAGCCTTTTAATTTAGTTTATAATACTTTTCTTATTTTTTTTTATCCTTTTTTATACCTTTTTAGTAATAGCTTATATTAGTTTAAATTTAATATATACTTTCTTTAGAAAAGTATAGAAGTACTTTAATAAGGTATACTTTATACTATATACTTTATACCTTCCTGCTTTATCTTTACTAGGTCCTTAGTAAAAGTACTTTTTTCCTTTATGCCTTTTTTATTTTATTTATTTAGGGGCCTCTTGCTTTTTACTTTCTTATTTCTTATTTCCTACTAGGAAGGTACTGTAGCTAACTTTAGCTCTTTAGGTTTTTAGCTAAGAGGCTAGTATAAGCTAAATATCTACTGCTACTATATTAATAGATAGGGTATTTAAATGTATATAGTTTATCTAAGTAATACTATAGGTATTTGCCTATAACTCTAAAGGGGTTAATCTTAATGCTATAATAAGATTAGTGAACTACTAATTTGCCTCTTTAGCTTCTTAAAGGTTTATATTTTAGGCTTTATTAATTAAGATCCTTTATTACTTAAGCCAGTTACTTGCTTTTTTATAGGTTATATATCTTTAGTATTAGGGTTTTACTAAAACCTTTTAGTATACTTAGTAAGCCTTCTGCTTTTACTTTATATAAGTTAAGGAGAACTTATTATAAAGGGACTAAACCTATTTTACTAGTATATTTTCTTTTAAAAAATAGTGCCTTATAATGCTTTTATTTACTATATTAAGTACCTAGTCTTAAATAGTTAATATTTTCCTTTTTAGATCTTTATAATTCTTTAGGTATATTTTATATATTGCCTTTATTATAGTAACTATTTAGTAATCTTTCTTTATAAGATAAGGTATTTATTAAGTTTATATTTTATATTTAGTATAGATTTTACCTAGCTCCTTAACTTATAGATAGACTTTTTATATAGCTAATTTTTATATTAAGGAAGAAAATACTTTTATAGTAGTTACTATATATATAGCTATAGCGCTTTGCTATTTTACTACTAATATATTAAGGGGTATAGGTATAACTACCTTAAAGGTAGGCTTATTAGTTACTATTAGGTTAATATAGACCTATAGATCCTTATTCTTTACCTTGACCTTTAGGGATTTATACTAGCTAATCTACTTTTTACTAGATTTAAGTTTAATAGTTTAATTAGTTATAGTTTAGATTATCTTTAGTAAGCTTTAGGCTTTTCTTTTTAATTTTTATACTTATAGTAGTTTTCTTATTATAAATAAGACTTTTAATTATTAGAAAGGTAATCTATATATTTTCCTTATTATCCCCTTTTTTAAAAAGAGGGGAAGTTCTATATCTATATCCCTTAGCTTGCTAATAACTAGCTAAGGTATTGCCTAAGTATATGTAATTATTTTATTATTCCAATCCAATATTAGCTACCTAGTTAGCTTTCTAGTCAGGCCAGTAATATCTAACCGTTACGCCACAAGCCCCTACGAAAACTAATCAGTAGCCAGAAATAGAACTTTAAAGAAAACACCGAAAAGCACAACGATGATGCATGGTTCGAATGGGTGAACAACGAGGATCAAAAGTTAATCTAGTTAGAAGTTCTCTTCTGAAGCTGAATAGCTGCTCTTTTGACAATCGTGTTTTACTCTACAATGGACCTGAACGACCCTTTTGTTTAGGCCTAGGGTGACTAAATGTTAGAGAAAAACAAGCGTTGAGATCATAAATACTGCTATGAAATGTCTCTCTCTGTTCGAACAGCCGACTTTGCCCGGTTATCCCGACCCAGCCATAACAGCTCTGGTCTCCCGTTATGTCCACAAGTGTCAAGGATTGCTTTATGCATAGTAACCTGATCCAAATCCAAGTCTGCTAATACCATGCCTTCTTCAGTTACTTGTAGCTCGATTGTTAATTGTCGCCCGTCTGGTGCAAATATCCTCGCGTTTCCTCCACCGGGGACATTAAAGACTGGGGCTTGTTTTGTGCCCATTAATTCAATGGATGGCTGTGAGATTACCGTTGTAGAGTGTAGTGTATAACACTGGGCTTGGATGGAGTAGACCTGAGAAATGGCTGCTACCGCTACACATAGATTAGATGGGTCTCGGAGGATAGTATTGGTCTTACCTTCATCGGACATGGAGTATGGTTCGGGTCCGCCTGAGTGGGCTGGCACACAGGGCCATGCCGCACAATGGATCTCCTCTCCTTGAGAGAAAGTATTAAAATTTATCAGTGGATTGAAATGTTCCTGGAGGGGGTCAGTTTGCACAACCCTTAGATACTGTGCCTAAACATACTCCACAGGACAATTGCCCAACTCTCCCAACAGAAGTAAGAGCAACATTGTCAAGCGAGGGGCCATGCCCATCACCAAAGATAGTCCTCTCGATATGGAAAGGTTTGAGTTTGCGTCTTGTCATCACGACTTGACCATCGCTGTCAATTATGCATTGAGCAATGTAGAGAGAGTCTCCGCTTCGCTCAGAGAACCCAATACAAACAACGATCCGGTTTTCCGCTGCACAAGACTTGATGTCTTGCATTTCACTTGAGTCGATTTTCAATGAGTTCTTGGTGTACTTCACGACCATCTCTAGATCTATTGGACGGGCCCTTAATGAGAGTCAGTTGACGAATTGCGTATGAAGCGCAATGCTTACCAGATCCATGCAGGATATCCCGGTAACCAAAGCTCGGGGAAGGCGATAATTTGCGCTCCCTTCGAAGCCGCATCTTTGATTAGAACGCATGTTTTTGTAACAGTGCCAGCTAAGTCAAACCAGACTGGCTCAGCTTGGACAACGGCTGCTTTGATGAGATTTGTCGTGACAGACATGATAAGAATGATTATTGAGTCAGATGTCGGCAGCTGGCGACTGAGCGGTATCCTTTAGATTATTTTCAACGTGTTTTAAGCACCGTTCTTGAGACGGACCTCATATTTCCTATCGCTACTCGCGTTCCAGACTTGATATGTCACAAGGTTTGTCCACGAATGTGAATACGAGCAAACCTGTTTGATTGGCCCGTTCTCCCTGCGCCATGGAAAAAGGCAAGATTATGCATTGACTGATCTGACGTGAGATTCGGGGACCAACAGATACCAACCATCTCAACTTTACGGGCTGAGCATTAAGATCCTGGAGGCTCCGTCGAAAAACTGCGCTCAGCTTAGATATTAGCCATTGAGGATGTTTTGCTCGTATTTGCGACAAGAGCCATCATGGAACGTGAGGAATCAATAACTTATTCTGCCGAAAGCTATGCTGTACCTTGGCCCAACTTCATCTTATTGTAGTGGAAAAGAGGACAATAAACAAATGCCAGTAACAAGTATATTGCTAGGGCTGCTGACGGCGCTATCGTTTGTCGGATTGAAACGCGACAGGGCTTAAAGGTATAAATCTGGTACATGAGCAAATTGGAAATTATTTTCAATACTTGGTAATCTCAATGCTCAACTCAACATGCGTTCTTATTCTTTTCTAAGCCTTGTTGGCCTCGGTGCCCTTGCCCAAACCGCGGCAGCCAAACCAGTTGGATCGTGCAACGACATAACTCCGCCAGTCATAACAGGTGCCATTATCCGATCCGTCAAAAGTCGAGTCTATCGCGATTACTCAGTGCCTGCACTTCCTCCAACATTACTTCAAAACGTCACGGACCTAAACATCTGCGAAGTAAATGTCACTCTATCTCATTGGAACGAAAACGATACTGTTCTCGTGCAAACGTGGTTGCCTCTCAATAACTGGAACTCCCGTTATCTAGCTGTCGGCGGTGGTGCCTGGGCAGCTGGACTCGGTCAATTTGATCTTGCTTTCCCTGCATCTCAAGGCTATGCTGTCTCTTCCACCAACGCTGGTCTCAGTGGGAATCCAATCGATCCGTCAGGTTGGGCCTTGAAGCCTGATGGCACTGTCAACTATGGTCTTCTCCAGAACTTTGCTTCGAGATCGGTCCACGATATGGCAGTCGTTGGTAAAGCAGTTGTTGCGTCTTTCTACGAGGCCCCAGTCGCGAAGGCATACTTCAATGGTTGCTCTACCGGGGGCCGTCAAGGTTTGGCGGCAGCACAGCAGTATCCCAGTGATTTCGATGGGATTCTTGCTGGAGCTGCCGCCATTTACTGGTCAGAATATGTCATCGCTGAGCTTTGGCCCCAAGTCGTGATGAAAGACGCCAAGTATTATCCATCGACCTGTGAGCTGGATGCATTTATATCAGCAGCCGTGGAGTCGTGCGATGGAAAGGACGGCGTCGCAGATGGTGTGATTACAGATCCATTCAGGTGCGAGTACGACCCTTTCACCCTTGTCGGCCAGAAGATTGAGTGCGGGAATGAGAGCAGAGTGATCGGCCAACTGGCTGCCGCAATAGTTAGCAAGATATGGAGAGGACCAACTGGCTCAAGAGGCAACGCTCTGTGGTACGGAATACCCAAGGGTGCGTCGCTTGCTGTATTGACTGCCACCAAGGCCGTGAACGGCACAATTACTGGTGCGCCGTTCTTTGTTGCTGATACATGGGTGCACAACTTCGTCAAGGCAGACACAGGCTTTTACACGTCACAACTCAATATCGCTGGGTTCGAAAAGCTGTTTTCAGAGTCCCGAGACAAGTTTGGTCACATCATGGATTCATCAGACCCTAATCTCCACCCATTCAAGAAGGCGGGCGGAAAGATGGTTATCTGGCATGGTCTGAGTGATCAGTTGATCTATCCTCAGGATAGCATCCGATACTTCAAAGAGGCGCAGAAGACTATTAAGTCAAAGGGAAAAGGTGAGGATCTGGGTAGCTTTCTTCGCCTGTTTCTGGCTCCCGGAGTTGATCATTGTGGTTTTGGCCAAAGCGCTGGTGCTGTACCAACAGATCCATTTAGGGCATTGCTGGCTTGGGTGGAAAACAGAAAGGCTCCCCATACACTGGATGAACACACGAAACCAGACACATTGACCCAGTTCTCACGAAAGATATGTCGTTATCCCGAAGTGGCAAAATACAAGGGTAGGGGAGATGCGAATGACTCCAAGAACTACTTTTGTGGCATGCCATAAGGGCTTTAATTCGGCGTCTTTGAACAGGCTTCTTCGCCTCATATTCGTCGACACCCGTGGTGTTACGAGTATAGCTAGCTGTACGAGTCTTTACTGTGATAGTGTTGGCAAGCTTCAAAACATAGCAATTCATTGATCACTGCCGATGTGGACACTATGCACATGTGAAATGAAGGATGAACACCCGGAAAGTCCACCGCATCATGCGACCCGAATGCCAAATTAGATGTAGTAGATATCGGCATGAGGAGCCCTACATATGAACCCCAAAGAATTCTACTCAAAGTTAAAGGCCTTCTTAGACTACCTCCATTGAAAAGTAATTTGGCAACTTATCAGTATAAATGTAGACCAGTGTATTTAGTTGCTGCGCGTACTAAAGGTGGTACCGCAGATGGATGGCATATCGGTTTAGGAAGTCCACAGCGGCTCAATCTGAATATCTTAGTACATGTAAAACTGAATGATAAGGAGAGACGATCAGTATAGCTAGCATAATTGAGAAATGCTACCATTGACAGATTTAAGTCATAACCATGCCGCCCATCTTCTCGGATAATCCCTCCACACCAACCTTGAGAAAGTGCTCATCACTATCGATCTGTTCACGCACAGGACCAGTCATCAACTCATCAACATCCCAATTAGCCCAGACGAAGCGGCCATGAAGGAAGCTGGCTTCAGGCGATGCTGCCCAGACGGAGAAATGACCTGGGAGATTTTCTATTGGACCTTTGTTAGTTTAAAGCCTATATAATCGGTGCTAAAAGTACTCACCATCGTCGAAAACAAGACCCTTCAGGTTATCGCCACCAACCCTCTTGGCAGAGTCCGTCAAAACACCACCTGGGTGGAAACTGACAATTTGCATGTCCGTGGACTTAGTATCCTGTGCGATCTGCTGCAGGAGGAGAGTGCTGGCACTTTTGGTCAGCCCGTATGTTGGGCGATCAGGGCCCATTGTTGACCACATGTAAGCCGCACAGGTTGAGATATTGACCAGAAACTGCCTCTTGTGAGCATAGGAGAGCTTGGAATGAGGATGAAGATATCTTACCTTGGTTTGGCTTGGAGCTGTGGTCTTTTGTTTGTAAAATCGCTCTGTCATATCGAGAGTACTTCGAACATTGGACTCAAAGTCACCCCAGACTTTGGACAGACCTCCAGCAAGAATTGTCTCGGTAGCGCCATAGCTTGCAGCACTCAAGACCAAAACATCAGCAAAAATGCCCTCTGATTCAAGTGCTTTCCAGAGGTGCTCGGTAGATTTTAAGTCAGAAATATCACAAGTACGGCCTTGCACATCCGTGCCACTGCCAAACTGACGGCCCTCTTCTTGGAGTTTAGCAGCTGCAGATGCGACTACATCTTTGCGACGTCCAAGGATAATGACGCGGGCAGCCTTCGCCTTGACAAAACTGCGAGCGATAGCATACCCAATGCCACTATTGCCTCCAGTGACAATGACTGTCCTACCTGTTTGCTGGAGGGCAGGGAGAGCAGGGTCAATTGCCTGGTAGGGCTTTTTGTGGTATTGGTTTAAAATAGGAAGACTCATGATGAATAGGGAGCTTTGACATATGAGGAAGGGGCAGGATGAGTTGAGTTGTCCAAATGGATCAACGCTGGGTGAATCGAATACAAGCTTGAGCCTGATACTTATAATTCTGTGACATGCTTACACGGGGCTGTTTGAGTGACAAAGGACGATGGATGAGTTGGTAATGCAGATTGATTGCAAAGCATACCCGCTTGTCTGCAGAATGTGAGAGCCTCCGCACTGTTCAGGAAGGTGAGCCTCGAGACCTACTTGACTGACGGCTTTTGAAAGGAATTGATTTCTCAACGTTGGTGATAAAATTGAGCCAATGGGGATGTGTCGCTCGTATTCTCAAGCCCTTTCCCCGATGCGGAAATCCCTCCGCCTCATGCGAAGTTTTGCTGACAGATTCGTCCGAACCAATCCAACAATTGAGCTCGTATTCAAGCGATTTCGTAATGCAAATTGCCTATAGGGGGAGAGGGGGGTTTTTGGACATATGTTGAAGAGAGAAAAAGGTGTCCAAGTTATTTTATCACCTCTAATATTCTGCTGCATTAGGCTAACATGATATTATCCACCGAAAATAACCACGACACTATGTTCTGTCCACTGACCGATATCCAAAACCCCCCCTCTCCCGCGTAGGTAGATATTATGTTATCAGCCTTGGCGAAGCAGTCTCTACTTGTAACGTGCTTATATGCTCTTTTTGGCTTTAAGGGCATCAATCGTATCACTAAAATGTGGGTAGCTAAGCATATTACCAAGGCCTTTCCGTTGGTCTCTTCTCACAAAGCTGTTTTTAACCCCATCATAGTAGAAGCAGGGTGAATTGACCTCAAGTTAAAACAACCATTTATGATGGAATCGAGGAGCCGACCTGAATCAAATCGAACTTGAGCACTGACTAGCTTGAAGCCTGTGAAGAAAATGGCGATCTCATCAATTATCTAAAGCATAGGTATGTAGCTAATTACACGAGATCTCATAAGCCCAAGGGGTAAAGTCTACAGAATTGCAGGACCCATCTGCGCTCAGAACTATTTCAGTTTCAAATTGCGCGCATTCAACACTGGAAACCTTGATGGTTGGAATCGTTCCATCATTGCAAGGCTTCACAAGGTTAACTTTGATGTTGGTGGCTGGGAATTGCTCAACGTTGACGCATGAAGTCCCATCGGCACCTCCGTACACGTTGGCAGTGACAAAAGGTCGCCCGGTGCAATCTCCACCTAGCCACTCTTCGACTACGACCTGCTGGGCAAAAACGCCAGCAAGGGACAGTGAGAGGGTAACTAGAATGATATTCTATTTCGCGAGCTTAGTTAGCCATTCTCGACCGGACTATAGGCGGCTTACTTTCATTGCAAGTCTTTTCGATGTGGACTGGACGACGCGTTAAGTTTAGCAAGTCGAGCCTAGAAGACGGATTCCTGGTTGATTGCGCTTTATATATTGCCAGATGTAGTTGCTTCGATGGAATTAAAGGCCGCTTACGCGATAGATTATATACAACGACCTTCCTTTCAAGGACTCCATGTCGAAATTTATGTCTGAATGAGGGTGACCGGAGTGTTACTTTCCGACACACACATGTTTCCGAATCAGGACAACCACACTTGACCCGAAATTTAGCTCGTATCAAAGCTTCACACATCACACCACTCGAACACGGAAGTTTGTAAACGATAAAATACAATAAAAAATAAGGGCTTGCATTGTGAAGTGGAAGATTACGTGGCTGCAGGTATTCATTCAGGTTTATAGCCAATCCTTGGTAGCTGCAAGACGTCATCCATCTTAAACTGAAGATGAATTCAGAGAGTAGCTAAAGCAAGGAAGGAAACTAAAAGAAAACCACTGTTCCAAAAACGTGAGATAATGCACGGGGCCTAAAGGGATCTAAGGGCATGGTATCATGCTCTCCTCCACTACTCACTAGTCTGCCACTGTCATTTAAGTAAAAATGACAATAGTGTCTATTAACAAGCGTATATGAGGGTCATATATGAAGGCCATCCACGTTGATTCCTTCGTCATGTTACACCCTCCATCGTGCTCGAAATACTCAACGTGACTGCCTTAAAGCCAGACATACAATGACGAAGAGTTGTCTACATGGGATATGACTTGGCAGCTCTTAGCATATCGTTGCTGAATGACATAGGTATAGTGAGATGAAAGTCAGAATTTACTGGCTCGGTGGTATAAGAGATGAAACAAAGTATCATCGATCGCCATTTCTTCAGCTCATAGTGGTGAGTCAGGTTCACTAATTACTCACAGTCGTCAAAGTAATACAGGTAATATCAAGAACAGGCCACGAGGAGATAGGCAGCAGTTCCATGACGGAAAAGAGCCAAGAATCATGGTGAAGGAAAACATGAAATTGATTTCAAGGAGTGGCTATAGTTAGAAATACAACTAGAAAAGCATAACCGGTCGAGTAGTACTCAAGGAAATATACATGTAGTAGTTTCGATACAAAGGAAAAGATACAGGAGGACGCGAAACATTGAGCGGGCAAACATAGATCCAAATGAGAACATAAAACCACACGGTTCTTCAATAGTCATCATCCAACTCCATTTCGTACATGACGGCCTCAGCCTCCTCATCGCCATAGTCAGTGTCCACCTCAGTAGAAGCTCGAGGTTCATCAACTGGAGCAATATGATGTTGCAATCCAGTTTCAGGCTCATACCCAATGGTTAAGCCCGTGACATCCTCAATAAGCTGTTGAAGTCTCTCATCACCGATAGCTTTATGAATCCAATGAAGTCTCTTACTGTAATCGTCGGTAAAGTCTCGCTGCGGACGCCTAAGGTTTCTTGCCGATCGTGAGATTGAGACTCGTCCGGTAGGCAACCTAGAGGAAGCGGATGACCTAGACTTGACCGTGGGAGTTCGTACGGCAACTGAGGCCCTGTGGGCTGAAGACCTTCGAAGAGAGCTTGGCTGAGAAGAAGGGGACCGCTTAGGAGAAGGAGACCGCTTGGGAAAAGTTGAGTGCTCGGTAGAAGGGGAATCTTCGGCCGGAAGAGGGTCGCCTAGAGACACAGACCCCTCCTTTACATAGCGGAATGCTTCGGCTTTGTTCCGGAACGCTCGATCTGCACGGTATTAGCTTGGAATTCTGAACGGCACGCCCCAGGAGCCTAACGCGAGCACTGACATTTGGCGTTGGGATATCCGTCAACCATCCTTTGGGCCATCGGCCAGGTAGGGAAAACACCTTCTTGCCATCCTCTGTGAACGGCTTGCCAGTTCTTCTGCTTTTTCACACCCGAGTGCTTACCGCGGGCCTGAGCGCGCATGACATCGGATAGTGAGGGTTTGCGAAGTACCCTGGAGCGAGTTACCTGAGTCATTGCTAAGAATGCCTTTAGATAGAGATTGGAAGGGTGATGGAGGGATACCGACTGTAGAAGCTCGAACAGAAGTTTGAAAGTTGAAAAGAGGATGAAAAGAAATCGTTGCTCAAAGAAGGCAGTTTGGTGAAGTAGTCGCGTTGAGAGCCTTGTGAGTAAAGGCTGTTGAGACTGAAGGTTGATGAGAGTGATGATTGTGAAGAAGAAAGTGAAGGATGGTAGGCCCCTTATATGCTCGAGCCTGGTAGCCAGACTGGACTTACTGATTTTAAGTGACCAAGATCAGTGAGCGGCGGAAGAAAATTACAGCAAAATCCTTTTTTTCCATTGGCCAAAGGAACGTGATCTAAGTCAGTTTAGCCCGTCCAGGATGGAAAGAGGGGAGTGGTGGTAGCCACTCACTGAGTGATCTTTCAGCTGGGCCGAAAAGACGCGTCTTCGTTTTACACAATAACATCGGCTATCACACGGCACTTCAGATCGCAGGGGCGACGCGTCTCGAAACCGCTAATTATGCATGGTTAACGGAGTGGCGTTCCTTGACTCTGCGAGAGACGCGATGATTCGTAGGACTGTGGTACCTCATCTCTGCTGCTCGTGTTCTCTTCCTGAATCTCTGGTCATGTACGCATGATGAATACGGAGAGAGTAATGGAAGTAGACCAAAGTCACTATCACCGTTGCCTCCAATTCTAGGTGAAAGTGGTGATGCTATCTGAGTTCTCTCCGCTAATTTAAGCTCTCATGATGGTATTTACACCTCTCCTCTCAGCAAATGATGAAGTTCAACTCTTAATCTGAGTCAAACATGTTTAGGAGCAACAGGACACATTTCAAGTCAAATTCAAGTAGTAAATAGCAAAGACAATAGTTGTTACATGTAAGGAGATAGCCAGTCCTGACCCCAACGCTTCCCACCAAAGTAAACATCAAACTAGCTTAGACAAGGGAAGATGATGCTTTGTACATTTCACGATAAGCAAGCAACGTCATCTGATAGCCACCCTTCTTCTTCTTGTTGTTCTCCTTCTGCTCCTCCTCCCCCTTGTCGGTGATGCTCTCATGAATCTCCCCATCTGCCTGACGCTCTTGCGAGCAGTTGGGAGCACGGGAAACCGTAGACTTCACGACCGGCTTGGAAACAGCCTTCGGTCGGAGAATCTTCCTCTCAGCCTCGCGGTCAAGACTGGCAGCGGCCTCAGGCTCGGAAGCCATAGGCTCAGCACAGCTTCCCTGCAAATCCAAACGTACCTTTTTAACCTGCTCACAAGGCGAGAGGTCGCCATGATCCCCAGTCTTCCGCTTGTTGACCCGGCTATCACCAATGTAAAGCCTATTGGAGCCTGTCACAAAGACAGGAATTCCAGTTACATCACTCAGTGGGTAAGTGATAGAGCTGTTCTGAGACGCGGTGTGTAAAGATGGGACAGTGGAGAGAGTATCGGCACTGGCCTATTGTATTAAACCCGAAGTGTATTTTCTAACCTTGTAACTAACTCATAAACTCAACTCCGCCACCACCTTCCGATTGCCCCAAACCTTCTTCCCTAATTACACCAATATACGTATTATTATAAAACTTTCTTTAGGTTAAGCTTTTCTTATATATTAGTATTTCTTAATAAATCTAATAGCTATATGCTATACCTGGTTAGTATTCTTAAAGTCCTTCTTAGCTAAATTGCTATCTATACTTTAAATATAGATATAATCTAAGCTAGGTTTTACTATAATAGCTTTATAGCCTTTTCCCTTTTCTCTTTCTTTTCCTTTTTTATTTTCTTTAAGGTAAATAGTATACTCTTTTTTTACTAAGTAACTTAAATAACCCCTATAAGGAATTTACTATAGGCTATTATATAGGTAATAGTCTTATAGTTAAAGAAAGTAAGGTTAATAAAAAATGTATTACTAAGCTAATAAAAGTCCTTTATATAAATAAATAATATAGCTTCCTTAGACTGCCTTTTTATAGCCTTATAGTTACTTACATTTTTAAGGGTATTTCTATACTAAATTATAGCTTATAGTATAACTATAGCCCTATTAGTATAGTTATTAATAGCTACTATTTAGGGAAATAGATATAAAGTAAAGATTTCTCTTATTAATATAGAAATTACTATATTAAAAATTAGAGGTATTTATAGTATTAAGCTAACCTTTTTTAGCTAATAGATTAGAAGTACTATCTTATATACCTTTAAGGACAGCTAAAGAGTTATAATCTAGGTTTTCCTCTTTTTAGCCTTTAGCTATAGTAATTAGTTAGTTATTTAGTATAATATCTAAGTTATAAGCTAGATATATTATTTACAGTTAAGACTTATGGCTAAGAGCTTAATCCAGCGGACAGAACTTAGTATCGGCACTGGCAGAACTGTAAGGACTACTAGCAGCAGCGGTAGGAGCAGTAGTAGCAGTAGTAGTAGTAGCAGTAATAGCAGCAGTACTAGCAGTACCAGCAGTACCAGCAGTACCAGTAGCGGTAGCGGTAGCGGTAGCGGTAGTAGCAGTAGTAGTGGCAGTAGCGGTAGTAGGAGTAGCAGCGGTAGCGGTAGCGGTAGTAGTAGTGGCGGTAGTGGGAGTGGTGGCAGTGGCAGCGGTGGCTTGAGCCACTCCATAAGTGTCCTCCTCAGGGCTAAAGTTGGACTCTTGCGCTGGTCGAGATTGGGGAGCCGAAGCTTTCAAAAGTTCAAGCATGTAACTCAGGAATGGAACGTTGCGCTTCTCTACCAGAGAAATGATATCCTCTCTGGTCACTCTGTGATATGCGCCGGTCAAATCCAAGCCAAGTAACTTGACATTGTTACGTGTCTCCCACTCAGCTTTACCTCGCCAAAGACTGGCGGTGTGACGGGCACTGCGCATTGCTTCATCATCGCAGGTGCTCCGCTCGTAACTGGCATGCCCGACTTCGTTGCAAACGCCACATTGCTTTCGCACACCTTTGGGGCATTCTCTGAGCTTGTGAGGGCCCAAACAGTGGCCACAGCGAGTAGCATAGTCACAGTTGAAGGACATGTGCTTGAGTCTCTGGCAGTTGTAGCACTGCTTGACTGTTGACTTGGGTTCGACTGAGCTGTGAAATAATTCTTAGTTTTGTCGCTCAATGTGATAGCGCTGGCCATGCTTACATAAAGTCTGTGTGAATTCCACAAACAGAAAAGGTCTTTTCGATGGCGTGAAGAGCCATGTCAAGGTTCTCGAGGATGAAGGAGAGATGCCCGTCCCTCCAACAAACTTTCAAAAGAGGCAGGCCCGTTTCGGCACACCAATCCTGGAGACGGCCAGGGAGGTCTTCGAAAAGTGAGTCATAGTTGAGATTGGCCCCGGGCCCAGCAAGGCGATCTGCAAGCTTTCTCTTGATTATATCGGTAGACAAGATGTGAAACCTCTCAGGAATGATCTCAACCTGATGATCAAAGACTTCGCGGATCAGTTCAGAGTGGGTCCTGATCTCCTGTGCATCAGAGTGAGAGTTGACGACAAGTGTAGCGATACCGGCTCTGCGGTCATCCATATAGATAGCAACGATGAGTTTAAAGACGTCTTCTTGTCTATTCATGTACTTGGCCCGCAGGCCGGACGCGGTCTGCAACTGGAGCCAATCAGGATCGCATCGAAGAGTGACGGAGACCTTGGTCTTCTTCTTTCTGTCTTCGCGTCTCTTTCTGTCTGTTGACTTTCGTGAGGCCGGGCTAGGGATGGCCTGAGTGCCACGGGCTGCCATCCCCTTAACGGTTCGGGCATGCTGAGAGAGCGATAGACCAGAGCGCAGCGTCTCTGGTCGAGGCGGCTTGGGTCCCGTGCCCGTCTCCAGATATGAGTCCAAAGACATCTGACCAGAGCTAACAGAACGAGCGTCCGCCTGGCTGTTGGAAGATGAAGGACGACGGGGAGTCATGATGATGGTTGAAGAAAGAGTAATAGGTAGGATGAAAGAGATAGTCAAGTTCAAGATTCTGGGATGTAAAACTGAGGGTGACGTTGTGCCAGGTGAGAGAGACCGCATAAGAACATTTTGGGCTGATGAGGTTTTAAGGATATCCAGATCACTCGCTGAATCACACTGCTTGAAGAGGCTTGAAGAAGATGAGAGCAGGAGAGTAACGAGATTTGCAGGTGGGCATGCCCAAAAACCCCGAAATCTCTGGCCCTCTGAGTGATCCTTGGCGTGCTTTTCGCGCTCGTGTAAGTCGCAACAACTACTGGCCGAAAATGAAATTCTCGATTAGTTCGTGGCTTTGAATCCAAGACAATAAGGATCAGGTTACATCCTTGATACTCCGTAATAACAGCGTACCATGCTTGGCCCTCCTACATCTGTCATCGGCTGCATAATACTCCCAACCTCAGCCGCGATCTACAATCACGCCAATCAGATCTCAAGTCCTTACACCCAAGCCATGAGCTTCGGGCCAGAGTTAGGTACCGCTCCTCCCGAGGCACACAGTGGGTGCAACCTTTCGGTTACGATTGAAAAGAGTGTTCTGTAAGAGTATACGTAGTCATGGATGCACAGGTTATAGTACTTGTCTATGTAGATTCTCTGGTGAGGAAACGTTGTATTCCTAGAAATTCGTAGAAATTCGTACTACAGAGGCACATGATGAGGGGTTCTCACAGTTGCTTTCAGGTTTCCGCTATATACTTGTGCTCTATATCATTCTCTGGTTTCTTTCAGTTTCAATAGAATGACTTTCAACACAGCATGATGGACCAAATAAGAAGCACATCATCACCTTCTCTAGGGTAAGGCAGTCTCAGGGAGTATTTGACTGGTTGTTTTTGTCATTCATTACGAGCACGTCTTTACCCCCTACATATCCTGTATACATTATGCCCCACTTCTTATTATCAGCTGAAACCAACCCCTGGCACTTTGCCAATAGCGCCTGTGCCCAGAACTTAATCGCTCTCAGACCTGGCGATTTCCCTCAATCTTTTCCCTTTTGTTCACTTTTCATTTTCATTTTCATTTCGCTGTTTTTTTTTAATTCGTTTTCGCTGTGTTTTCGTTTTACTTTCCGGGAAACGTCTTGTCCCTATTTTCTCAAAATGAATTTCACCTATCCTGGATTAGTGGCTGATCTGGAGAGTGATTGCGAATGGCCTCCAGGACTCTGACTCCGTCTTGCCCACCTGCTCCCCTTCGTTCTTCCTTTGCTCAACACAATGAACCTCCTCTTCTCTTTCGCTTCATTTCTATGTTGCTGTCGAAATTGTTTTGAATCGCTATCGCCTTTCTTTGCTGTCCAAGAGCTTACCTTGTCCGTCTTGGGATTATCATTACCTCACTGCCTGCCTACTTTCTAGCTGTCGTCTCCTCCAGAGGCATCGAGCACCCAGGCTCTCCCTCCCCTCATCTTCTTCTACCTTTCCCCTACGTCTGCACATTGCTCTGTCGTATTGTGCTGCCACTTCTTGGTATATACCTTCCCAATTTCTTTGCTCTTGCTCTTGCTCTTGCCCTTTCTACTTATGCTGTCTTCTTGCCTCGATGGGGGTGATTCCCATCCTGTTCCGTTGCTTCTGCTTTCATTATCACTGCTCTTTCGTCCCATCATCGCTTCTATACTGACCCGTCGTCCGTCTTGTACAACAGCCCTTGAGATACCCTCATCCTCCTTCATTCTCTTGTGCGCCGTATAGGTATGTCTACCCATAGCCTGGGTTGAAACTCTCCTTGCTCACAGTACTCGTGTACTTCGAACTTGCAGTCTCCGAAAGCACCAGTTCGTTCAACATGAACGCTTGTACCCTACCCATCATTCCTCCGCCGGCGGATGTCGAGATGTCCTTGGACGACGACGATTGCCAAGACAGTCCACACGAAGACTACCGCGAGTTATTGAATGACGAACGCTGTGTTCAATTCCTCGATCAAGGCTCCTGCCACAACCATCCTGATAATACCACGCCCGACAGACTCCTCATATGGCAAGCCAATCTCAAGAAATGCGACACGAGAGTGAAAGCCCTCTGCACCGAGATCGACAGGCGACTATATGGAGAGTCTCCCCGCCCCCTCCCCCAAGTCATTGCCGTACAGGACCTCTGTTACAAACAGGCCTTCCATGGTATCCCTGGATATCATGTCTGGTACCTCTCTGACGGCCAGTTCACCGCAGGGGACTACGACCCTGACGCACAACATAAAAAGTGGGCTAAGATCATTGATAAGTGCCTCGAGGCCCTCGAGCGTGCCGAGGTCGCCATCAACGTGAGCCAACCTTGGCTGCGCCCTACGTCTACCACAACTCGGCAGGCAAATCACACTTTTACCTTCTCACACGATACCCTGTCCAGCCTCCGCGAGATTACCTTTGCGAACGAAGACACCGCTGATATAGCCAAGTCTGTCCTGTTATGCGTCTCAAAGACGCTCACGACTGTACAGAATAAAGTCACAGAGTCTTTGAGGTCCTGCTCAGATGCTCCTGCGCCACTTGTCTCCGCCGAGAAAGCATTCTCTTCTGTTCAGAAAAGTCTTTTCACTGGAGTCCATAGCCTCTCCGACAAGAGCTTCCAGTTCAAAGCCACACCCAAGATGCACAGCGTCGGCTTCTATGTACACAACTCTATACCGACTACTTCGTGGAGAGTCAAGACCTGCAAAGGTGCGAACAGGGAACTGCTTGCTACCCTTGAGATTGCCACTGCTACGGAGCCTCTGGCCATTCACAACGTTTATAACCACGTCAACAGACTCAACGTCAACCGTTTACTCTCCTACCTGGACTCGTATGCAGGTCACAGCATTCTTCTTGGGGACTTCAACTACCATCACAAGGACTGGAACGGCGGTCGAAAGACGGAGACGAGCACGTCGGGCAACAAGTTTGCCGAAGGCGTCAAGGCACGCAACTACATACTGAAGACCAAGGAAGGCGCAATCACCTACTCCAACTCCAGCGATGAAACGAAGCGCAGCTCGACTATAGATCTGACCTTTGCCAAGGGGTCGGTCAGCGAGTCGGTCGGGTACTGCGAAGTACTCCAAGTGCCAGGGTTCCTCAGTGACCATCGTGTCATTGAAACATCGGTCAAGCGAACGGTCAAGACGGATGTTAAGACTATGCCCTGCTGGCACAAGATAACTCCTGCCAAGTTCCAGCATCATCTCAAGCCCCGGCTTCCACTTCTCGATAGCCCGCTCGACAACGAAGACCAGGTTGTTGACTTTTTTGGCAAGATCATAGATGCTCTACACGTTACTATGATGGAGAACGTGCCCAGAAGGTCCTGCGGCATCAGACCTCAAGTTCAGCGAGTCAAGCAGCTGGCATCCAAGTTGAGAAAACGACTTGCAGAGTTGGACGCTCTCAAGAAGAAGGATCAGACGCCCAAGACAATGCGGAGAATATCCTTTCTCGAACGCGACCTCGATAGGTTGAACACTGAGATGTGGGACGCGTCCGACCGCGACAAGATTCGACGTCCCTCCGCGAGGGAGCTATTCAACGTGTTCAGGTTGGCCAAGGGCAGATCTCAACCACTTCAGTTCGCTCAAACTCCAACACTCAGGTACAAGGACGACAGTGCAACGGTCAATGAAACGCAACTTGCGGTCTCGGATGAGCAGAAGATTGAGATGATCAAGAAGGTCAAGTTCCGCAACAACAACAATCCCGAGTCAAAGAGGATCTTGGACGATCCTGGTCCAAGGCACGACCCCCAGCGAGAGGACATCTATATGTCCCGGGATATCGATGCCGAGAAGCTCCGGACAATCGTCAAGAATCTCAAGAACAACAAAGCCCCAGGACCGGACAAGGTTCCCAACGAAGCGATCAAGCTCGGCATGGAGCTTCTGCTGCCTTACTTTGTGCTTGGATTCAGAGCCTGCCTCAACCTATCACTTCACCCCGCAAACTTCAAGGACAGCATCATCGTCATGCTACTGAAGGCTGGTAAGGAGCCCGATAAGCCCGAGTCTTATCGGCCCATTTCATTACTCTCAACCGTCGGCAAGCTTTACGAAAAGATCCTCGCCGACATGATGACTGATGCCTTGAAGGAAAATCCACATCTCCTTCCCGCAACACAGTTCGGTAACAAGACAACAACGGAGGCCCTGCAATATCTTTTCCGTATCATCTTCAGCACTTGGTGCTCTAACAGCGATGACGTTGTCACGATTCTCGGTCTGGACATGAGCAGCGCCTACGATAACGTCTTTCGCCAGAGGCTTTTGCAAACCTTGTACGACAAAGGCTTCCCCAGATGGTTTGTTGACATCATCGGGCTTGTGCTTTCACTACGAGATGCCACTATGCGTTTGCCGGGTATCATCTCTGATCCTTTCGAAATGAACACAGGAATTCCCCAAGGCTCGCCCCTCTCTGCTGTCCTCTTCTACTTCTTTGTTTCCCCTCTCGTGGAGCGAACGTTCCCTCCCCGACTCATCTACGTCGACGGCAAGAAGGAGACGGTCCGCCTATACCAGTTCTCTTTCGTGGATGACGTCTACTACATCGCCGTCTCTCGCAGCTACGTCATCAACTGCCGAGGACTTGAAATCCTCCATGAGCAGATGATGCCCATCGCTAAGGAGCTGTTCATCGCGTTCGGTGCTCACAAGTACCATGTCATGCACATGAGAAAACCAACCGTTCGAGAACCGGCACACAACCAGGTGAGGCCCAAGATCGATGGTTTCGTCGAGGAGGTCCAGGAGAAGATGACAATCCTTGGTGTGTTGGTGGATTCTCAGATGACCTTTGACCTTCATGTAACCGAGATCATCAACAAGTGCAGACAGAGACTGGGTTACATGATGCGGATCTCGGGGAGTACATGGGGCCCTGACATGTACGCAATCCGTCAATACTACTTGACGCTGATTCGTCCTGTCATTACCTACGCTTGTGGAGCTTGGTTCATCAAGCAGAGCGAGGGAGTCAGCCCGCCCCTGCATTTTGGTCTCCACAAGAAGTTGATTGGCCGACTTCAGTCACTGCAATCTGAATGCCTTCGTTTCGTCTCCGGTGCCTTTGGTTGCGTTGCTGGTACCTTGGTCGAGAAGGAGCTGTTCATCGAGAACATGTGGACTACCTTGCACTCTCAGGCCACGTTGCAACGTGCTATGAGCTTTACTTCCCATGATCCGCGATGGAGGTACCTGTCTTGCAGTGATGGTTCCTCAAAGGCTAGGATCCAGAACCCAATCAAGATCTTGGACGATGAGGCAGGAAAGGTGCTGGAAGGCGCCTTGGACTATCAGATCCTGGTGTCTCAGGAGTCGGATGATCCTTCTTATGCGCAGGCCATAGCAGATCGCTTTGCAGACCGGAAGGGTCGTGGCAAGATAGTGGGATCCCATATCAAGTGGCTGGCAGCCCAAGACTGTCAGGACTTATGGCAGAGGTACATTGAAGATCGCGAGGACACTCAACTCGCAGCTGGAAAGTCTCGGTCGCAGTTGAGACTCCCAGTTGCCTTGACGGAGGAATGGGGGAAACACAGCCTTCGCTACTACAAGGGTTTGACCCGGGCCCAGAGTACCATGCTGTTCCAATGCAGAACAGAGTTCATTGGCCTCAAGTACCATCTCTTCAGGATCAAGCTAGGCGATGCTCCATACTGCCGTTGCAACAAATCTCGAGAAACCCCCTTTCACCTCTTCGTCGAATGTCCATTCCTCGAGGATCAGCGAAAGTTTTTATTCCGAAAACTTCAACACAACAGCTTCTCTACACTGCTCACTCTCGACGGAAGAGTCGCGGCCGATTGGGCCATCACATACTTCGACATCGAGCAGTTTGATAATGTGAGAAAGAAGTCTACCACTTTCGTTTTCGACCCCAGCTTCATCTCGCCCCGTGAGGAGCGGACATCCACTTCTAACTCCCCACAGTCAACCCTGCCAGGGCGGACACTGGCATTGTATGCCACTGGTATCACACTGCTGGATAGCGCTCAAGGCCCCTCTACGACTCGAAGGGCAGTCCCCACTGCATTGTTTGGTGTCCCGGCAGACTTGCGTAACAGATGACCATAGTAATCCTCCTTTACTCCTCCTCTTTACTCTCCTCCTCTCTTCCTCCTCCTTCTCCCTCCCTATACCTACATGAAGCCCATAGCGGAGCCACATGCAGTCTATCCTTCTCACAGGATACAGCCATTCCCTGCCGGGTATCTTCCCAACGAGGCATCTTCTCTATGAGAGGTACACCTCATCATCGCTACGCCAAGTGTATCCTACCTTGGCAATGCCGCAACTCGCTTGCTTCGCGCTAGTTGCGGCACTCTCTCTGCTTTTAGCAGAGTCTTTGTGTTCAAAACCTTTGTGGCTCAATGGTAAGTATTTTTGTTCTCTCTCGTCTGTTCTCCCTTCGTTCTCGTCCCCCATCCTTTCCTTCCAGAGTGTCCCTTGTATCCTTTACTCGGGTCTTAACTCTTGGTTCCTCTCCTTCGTTCGAATACATGTAGCTCGTAGCTTCTCTTTCCTCACTCTTACTTATCCTGCCCATTGGTTCCTGTAGCTTCATGGACGCTGTCCCTCCCTTCCGCGATATAACTCTTCTCGCCATTCCAGCTATAGCCAGTCCCCTCAGTCACGAACATTCCTCTTGGTGAATTACGATACTGACGATGTCAAGCAGAAGCTTTATTTAACTGAAAACCTAGTCCTGAATACGACCGAATCTCCAGTAAGCCTTGACTCTGATCCATTTCCACTTCAGCTATTGAAGTCTTGACATCGGTCGACTAATCCCACTAGACAGACAAGCTTTTCCGCCCAGCGCCACCAGCCCGTCTAACCTTTTCCTGTACGTCAAACCATCCACTCTATCACCTATACCCATAATCTAATAGAGGGAACGGCTAAGCTCACAACTCTTCGACCAGCACAGTCATCTCGCCAATTGACTCATCTTGTACGTTGCCACGACTCCCTTAATTATATCTAGCTGGCGTGACTGACCCTAATCCTTGTGCCTAATACGCCGGATTTTCACGATCTACCCTCTCCCAAAAGAGCAGCACATAGTGTGCCCAGGCCGGGTGGTAAGTATTAGGACACACGTCCCAAACTTCAATGCCTAATATACTTACTTAATGGGATAGCGCCTTTGCGATCCTGATTGCCTCGTCGACGTCATCCAGCAATTCCTTTCTCCTTTTGCGTGCAGGGTCCTTCTGGGGATCGAGATGAGGCAACGTATGCGCGTAGGCGCTGTAGCCGAAGTAGACGAGATGTGAGTTTCTTTTTCTATCCTCCGGGCTTTAACTAATTATTCTTTCCTTGTAAGCCGCGAGGACTGCGTCTTCTATGCTGTTTGCTCTGATAACCTTACGGAGGCTTGTAAAGTCATGGTTCTTGCTGAGCTTTTTGCGTGCCTGACGGTTGAGTTGGTGGAAGTTGATAGGCGTAGGGGTATGTATTAACTTCAAGTGATAACTTATGGCGCATTTGCTGAACCCTTGTCAGGCTGTTATGCTCGCGCTAGCTATCGGAGGCTGCGGAATCCCGATCAAATGTGCGACGGGTAAGTCGCTTTCCACCTAACGAGACTCCTCACATGGCAATACTGACAACTCAAGTCGCAGTGGAAGTCATCTTGAGAGTGTTAACTTGAGTTGACAGACTCGCTTGTATCGGGCATCTTACCTTGTGTGTGCTTTGTGTGCTTTGAGCCTGATCATCCTTACGGAGGAGCAGCAGGTAGGCCAATCCAATCCTTATCCCTGTCCAGTTACAGATACTGACTTAATCCTAAGCACTTATTTATACACCTCTGGAGTCAGTCATCAGGATATTAACTTTTCAGCCAAAACCAAGATCCTAGGCAACAGCAAGGGCAATGAGTATCTTGCCGTTTATTGGTGTTCTTTACCTTTGTGCGCTGGAGGCTGAAGCCTCTTTAAACTACCCACAACCTTATTCCCGTCATTAATGATACTTCCATGAATTTACTCTTGTCGTCCCACCTTGTGATGTAATATGCTTGGTCTGTAATGCTGGTTGGCGCAACAAAGTTCTGACTCAACGTGAGGGGCTTGAAGTTTGTGTCTCATTACGCTTTGTGGCTGTGTGAGTCATCAGTCAACAGTTGTAGCCTATAAAAGGCCACTGCCCCTCGTATCTCCAGTGGCATCTCCACTTCCCTCATACAAAGACCAAGCTTCCAGCCTGTCTATTACCGATACTTGCGCTTTACCTTGCACATTCTGTATCGTCACAAAATCCATTCGTCCCCTCAAAAGATGGTTATGGAGCATTCTTCACTGGCTCACACGTCCAAAGCTACCTTCCTGGGTCTCCCGTTGGAGCTGCGACAGCAAATCTACCATGAATACTTCAAAGTCGATGGTGGTTATGTCTACGATGGCGACTCCGATAAACTGGTCCAGGCTGATCGACAGCCCATAAGCATATCCCTACGCTATGCTTGCCGATCTGTTGCAGAAGAAACAAAATCATTTCCGTTCCAGCTCAATTCCATCACATTCTCGACCCTTTATCGCAAAGACCTTCAGCAGCAGGCGGCAATCCACAGTAACCTCATTCGGTTCCATACGGTGTTGCTGTCTGAACTCTTACTACGAATGAGATATTTTATCACTCTTGAAATGTATGATCAGATCGATGAGGTGGCTCCACAATACCTGGAGGAAATCAAGAGTCGCGTCGAGGGCTGCATTCTGGACGATGAATACGAGAATTCCGAAGAGGATGACGACTCTTTGTTTGACCACAAGGATTTCCTGGCCATTACTGAGTTCGACGAGGGGGGGGGCGGAGGGGGGGGCGTTACTGGCGCCAGTTTGAGTTGGAATGACAGCACCATTGGATTCCAACACGCCATCGTCTGCATCCTTCGCCAGGTCAGTGCGAATAATACAACTGAAATGGCTAAGGCCATTGATGAGATTCTCCCGGGGTGGACAAACTCGGCTTCGCCTGAAGAGCTTTTCGATTTGTCATTCGATCATTGGGATATCCCACCACTCTCGCGCCTTAGGGAAACGGCGGAACGCCTGCAACGGCATCGCTTCTTGGAAAGCTTGGGTAGCTGGCTTCCTATCCAGCGCGATAACCCAACGTTATTTGATGCAAGATACGAGGGACCAAGGTATACATATCGCCGAAAATATTGGTTTTCAGCGACTGCTGCCGCTATAAGGTTTCTGACCCGTATGCCATCAATTCAACGTGGATATCTACAAAGGCTAGTTCTCAACGAAGGCACAATTGCAGTTGGATTCCCTGAGTCCCATGCTATTGGATTGATTCCTTTCTGTAAAGAAAACCCAAAGCTTCAGGTTGAACAGCGGGTTGACGTCTGGCAGAACTTTGTCATGAGCTCCGAACAACTGACTGCCTACAGACCAAACGGCTTGATCTTTGAACGGGGTGTTCCACAGCCCGGAGAGTTCCATTGTCTGGACTCAATCACTGGACCAAGTCAAGACTGGATTTTCTCTGGTTGGGTTGTGCATGGGATGGAAGTCATCAGGGCGGGAATGCCTGTCGGGTCTTGGTCTGTTCTTTTTGACGGAAGCCCAGACCTAAACCTTGCTACCGCGTTGTTCACCACGATTATCCAACGTACAATTGTCTGGCAGACCTTTTACACAGACTGTGTATCCTTAGGCCTTTTTACAGACCCGAGCCATCCTGACTATCCATTCGCCACTGTCACATCAGACGAGGAAACCCCTGGAAGGAAGAGAAGCTCAATCTTTCAATGCAATTTCAATCTCGATCGTCCCTGGAACCAGGATGAGATAGCCGCCAAGCACAACGTACATAATGAGGATTTCAAATGGGAATTAGACTCTTGGCTGCGTGTTGAAATTGATCTAAACTCCCACGATGATCCCAGGTTTCCCATGACTAGCCCCACAATAGACCTTGAGAAGCTACGTCTCAGTTGCTTTGAGCGGAAAATGATATCAGACCATTAATTCCCGGCCCATCTATGCCGGATTATAATGAGGATACAGTCAGTACTCAGCAAAAGGCAAATCTTGTTTATAACGCCGTTATCAGTTAGTTAGTGCTACATATTGAGATACAGCTTGTTCAATCCCAACACTGTCACAAAATGATAAGCGTGAGTAATTCGAACATGAGTCGCGAAAGCCCATGAGTGACGTATGAAGTACTTATCATATGCTGGAAGTTGGCTAAGAGCAATTCCAAGTCATATAAGCCCAAGGAACAAAAAGTCGTCTAACATCAAGTCAGGATATCTACATAAGTTGGTCTAAAGGCTTACGTAGATAGACTAAACTTAGCTAACCTAAAGCTTTTGATCACTTTGCGACGGTCATGGCCTCTCTCCTTGATAAGATAACGACTGACCCACTTTGCAAGTCCCGATAACGTGCTGAGTCACTCATTCTAGTCTACCAATCATTGCAAGCCTTCTCTGACCCATTGGAATGCGAGATATGATTGGATGTCTCGTAAACATTGTTGAGTGGAGTGGCTCGAAGGTGTGATGTATGTGTATTAGGGAAGCTAACTAGGGCCCAGTGGGCAGGCTACATAGAGAGATGTGGGGGCCTGAGGCACACATATCTCAACACCACCCCATAGCCTGAACTACAGGTCAAGTAAAGCTATCTTATTATACATTATAGCTCCCTATAGCCTTCTTTTTTAGTATTTTGCTTTATAACCTTATTTCTTTATATAATCTATTCCCTTTTTAATTAATTTTCTACTGGCTTTTTTATATTAAGTTAATGCAAGAATTCTTTATAATTCTACATTCCTAGTAGCTTTATTAGTCCATTAGCTACCATTTCCTACATCCTAATATACTAAAGGTTAAAATAACCTATTTTAGTT